TTTGTATGTTTGTTATTTTGCAGGATTTCTTTCTTTCATTCCTTCATTTTTTTTCCTCCCATCATTTGAATTTGTTTGAAGATTGTTGTTCATTTTCAGTGATTTATGAAATGGATTTCTACGTCCAATTTCTACGTTCAATTCTCGCACTCCCGAAGGAATTACGATCTATCGGAGAATTTTTGCAAATTATAGCACAAACATCAAATGAACTTCTGCACCATTCTATTCTTTCTTCTTTTATTGCTCTTTTTGTTATGACTTCATTAATGCATTAATACGTCTGCTCTTTCACTTTTTTTTTTCATTTACTATTTATTAATTTCACACTTATTAATTCTGCAATTTCCGAGTATTATTAATATAAAATTAGACAGATGTTTTAAATTTAATACAAATGGATCAGATAGTTGAAATCATTGCTCATGATAGATTAAATGAAGTGAAAAGCTCTAATAGTAAAGATATCTTTCCTTATTTCAATATTTGATAATGGTTGATATTTCATTTGCATTACTCTCTAAATTAAATTAAGTGACGTTTATTGAAAGTAAATCTCAAATCAATTGGATGAACTTGCTGATCAGTGCTGTAGTGTGGCAAAAACTCATGCAAGCAAGAAAAAAGAAATGAAATACAAAAAAAGAAATAGCCAATTTCAATCCATTACATTACCGTTCTTTGCAATATTATAGAATTGATTAAACATTTTCAAATATCATAAAAGGCAATATAATTCCTTCTCGGTCAATTTTTACGATTTCTTTAATGGTCTTCAAATGCAGCAATGAAAGAAAAATGAAAATTTATATTACATGAAAATATTATCATTGAGTTATCACTTCCCAGAAAGAATGATAAAGCTAAAACCAAAAAAAATTTTGAGAAACACTGATTTAAATTTAGAATGATTAATTTTTTGATTTTCTTTTAACACTGATAATGTTAAAAGTTTAGGTTATGCGATTGCAAGACCATTGATAAACTGATGAAATGGATAAATGATTTTTTTTTATTGATATATTGAAATGAAACAGGAAGGAATATATTCATGCAAATTGTTCTCGGCATCACAATTTGTCAATTTTTAAAAATTTTGAATATTCCCAAATAAAAGCAAGGTTTTTTTGTTTTTTTTTTTGTCATTGAATGAATCGGTTATCTTGTAGAATCTTTATGCATCGTTGAATTTTAGATAATTTAAGCAGACTTATGTTTCATAGTCAATTTCACTCGTCATGCGCATTCATGTCTTTCTCTTCCTATTAATAGCACTATTCAGGTTAACTCAGAATGTATTCCGGATAATCTTTTTTTCTCTTTGAATGATATGATGGAATTGTTGTATTCAGGGTGCTTCATTTGAAATCTTCAGGAATTGATGGATATGCTTGCAAAACATAACATTTTAATGAAAATGAATTTATAAATTATGATTTCTTAATTTATGTATGATAATTATTGTTGTAGGAGTCTTTATTGGGAAAAAAGAAAGGAGAGAGAGAAGAAGAAGAGAAGAGATTGGCTAATTAAAATTAACTGCAAATAATATTGATCATCTTTGGAGAAAATTTAAGAAAGCAGTGACAATTTATGCGAAGACAGGCAACCATAGTGGTGATGGACAGCTGTGAAGATGAACCATTACGGTTATTTGCGGGTCGATTCTGATCCAGCACTATCCTCCGAACCTGCTAACAATAAATACTGTACATTATTAAATGCAATTAAATTGAAAACAAAATTTTACTGACTTTCAAAACAACTATTACGTGTTGTTCAACGTAGTCATTTATGATGTCATTTTCTTCATTTCTTTTCTTAAAGAGAATTAATGCGCTTAAATCTTAGCAAAATTTGTAAATTTAACTTTATGAAAAAATGAGCCAATACTGTAGCATATCAAATATAGTTTTTTTAATTAACAAAAATTAAAAAAAACAATAACAACAACAATAAATCTTTGCAACGCGATACAATTACTCAGATAATGGCGAACTTGGTCCATATAGTGCAAACTTGCCCGATGACCCTGAGCAGTATGAATTGGATGATCATGTGGGAGAGATGTCGCAAGCATTTATTCGTCATTCACGAAAAGTTAGTTTTACATTAAAATTTAAGCTGTTTAAATTACTTCGCTACATCTTAAGAAAATAGCAACCATTTTTCTGCCAAATTCCTCAACAATTTTTGCATGTTTAAGTATTGTTAAAGAAAATTCTAATAAATTATTAACAAAGTTAAACAAACGAAACATTCAAATTTTTTTATCTTTTCAATTTAATTCATTTCCTTTAATGAATTATTTTTCGATGTTATGAAAAATGCTCAAACTTTTCGTATGCTCAATTTTAAAATTGTTTTTTTTTTGCTCTTTGAAAATTTTTATAATTTTAACATTTTCTATTCCTTTCCGGAAAGACAACCGATAACGATAATCTCTTCGTTAATTTGTTAAGAGAAATAAAGACGAACGTTGAGTTCAGTAGATATTAAAATTATATGAAAATTTTCAAAATTTCACATTTTTTTCTCTTTATTTCTCATTCTTTCATTTGTTTATTAATTTTTTATAAAATTTTGTATTTAGTAGTTTAACTATCAGTCAACTAATAATGAATCAGTCAAACTTTTTTAAAATTTGACAGAAAACTCTTTTTCACCTTTTCTCTTCCCTCACAATGAAATGATTTGAAGTTTTTCAAACCATTGACAAGATTGTTCTTGTCCATCTTTTCTATCTTTCCATTGCTTTTTCCCTCTTCCTTTTACTTCTCCTCCCCCTATTCACCAGTGCAATGTATCAAATATTAAATTTCTTGACTTTTTTTTGCTTTCGTGAGAATTTAAAATCATTTAAAAAAAGAAAATTGTGAGCAAAAAGCACCAGTCTTTTAAGCAAATAACAAGTTATATACGTTTGCAATTTAATATAAGAACTTTTAGAAAGTTTTCATCCACCGTTTACAATCGTTCAAGTATATTATTCAAGCAGTTCTGAGATAACGTCGTAAAAAAGGATTTTCCCGTCTTAAATTTTCTTATTTTTTTTGTGCAAATACCTTATGCATTTCCAATCTTTCCATATATATTTTTTTTTTAAATTGAATGTAAAGGAAATTTTACTTTTGCATTTTTTGGTGTGGCAAAGATAAATTCTTCAAATTGATAACATTGCAAAAAGAACTTGCAAAAAACTAGTTTTGATTATCATATCTTTTAGAATTGATAGCATAAAATAATTAACCGGAAAAGAAATTGGTAATAATTATCATAGCGAAATCTATCAATTCTAATTGCACTGTTATTATGCTTCTTTTCCCTCTCTTCTCCTTTTCCATCCTTATTCTTGCGAAAATTTTATTTTAAAATGAAAGAAGGAAGGATAATATGTTTGTGCTTGAACATAATCTGACATCTCCAAAAAGAATTAGCACCTTTTTGGGTGCCAAAATATTAAATGATTTTATATTGGATGAATGGGATCCATTTCTTTTAAACAATAGCTTCTACCACACTTTCGAATAACTCACTTTCACTTCCAATTCGAAAACCTCTTACAAACTGAATTTTTTCACTTGCTTATTCGAAAACAAAAAAACCTTTCCTACTTACTTCTTAAACTCATATTCATTTTTTAAATGCTATACAAATAAAATTTCAAATATTTTTATGGTTTCAAACTTTTTATGCTAAATAGTGGTTTCAAATTTTTAATGCTATACAGTGGTTTCAAATTCCTGAAATGGTTTCAAAATTTTGAAGTGTGTCTTATGGCGACAGATCAAATTATCTTTCCTAACTGAAATATCCTTTTTCCATTCTCTTCAGAAATATTTGCCTGAACGGATATTAGTATTCAGCTAATGCCACTAATGTAAACTTTTCCTAATTTTAGCATAAAACAAAATTTCAATATTAGCATATTTCTGTTTTTCATTTCAAATTATAATTATAGGAGAAGTTGTATCGAGAAAGAATGTCGCAATGCAGTGCTACAATGGATCAGCAGGATTGGAGCAGTAGGCGCGATCTTCTCGATGTACCCGATACAACGGTACTTTTTTTATTCGAAAGAAAAAACTATTTGCTTAAAATTTGAACTACTTCAATTTCAATCTAATCGGAATGTAAAAATTTAATATAGATCAAGCATAAAAGCAAATATGAAATCAATCATTATCTTTATTCATAAAACGCTGATGATAGGTAATGTTTTATACGTGAAAGAAATAAATTAGCATAAATTAATTTATTCATATGATTATATGAATGAAGGACTTTTCAAGATTGATATTTCATCTACCAGTGAAGAACCAACAAGAGATATCACCGATGAGGATGAATATGATCATCGGAACGGTATCAGAAAGGTTTGTATTAATTAAATAACTTTCACTCTAATTACTACTCCTTATTCATATATTATTTACTTTCTCCTCTTTTTCTCCCTCTCTCTCTCTCTCTCTCTTGTATTTCGTAGGTAAATCTTTTAATGTACATTAACTGTTAAATTCAATCAAAGAAATCTTTATGATCAATAATTAAAGAATGAAGAATGATATAAGGTTAAATCGTTGGTGAATGAAATGTAAAATGTGATGAAGATGAAAGAAGTTGTTGTTTGCTCTTTGGCACTTTTTTTTATCCTCAATGCGAATTCTTTGAGTGAGTTGTGATATGTGTGATTTCTTTCATATCTAATCTCTTCAACATTTCCTTCTTTTCTATCTTTTTTAACCAAATAAGTAAGTAAGCTCATAACGAAAACAATAAACGACATCATTCTTTTGCCTTCTTGGCTTATTTCTTTCTTTAGACTTACTTAACTATTCCCCAATTATCAAAAATTGTTTCAAAAATAAATTTTTCTAAATAAATCCTCAAAGATATGAAAAAAAAATGAAATAAATAGAGATGGAACAAATAGTCATTTTTAGATGAAATTTAAAAAATTGACAGCTCTGCGAATTACTTAAAATGATTTATACATTTTTCATTTCACCATTTCTCCTTGTTTGTTAGATATTTTAGAAAATTCGTTTTACTTCCTCGTGAAATTCGTTTTACTAAGCTCAACATTCAATCAAATTCTTTTTTCAAAGTATCTTTTATTTTGCAGGCTTATAAAAAATTTATATTGATTGATTATAAAGTCATACATATATCTGTATGATTAAAAATAATTTTAGCACTATAACAATTTTAAAGTTCTAGCAATGATTTACGATAAAATTGGCACTGAATTAGAAGATATTTTTAAAAATATTAAAAAAAATAAAGCTCACTCTTCATATATATTTATTTTTCTCAATTTCAAATACATAATAAAAATTAGGCCCTAGTTTTGATCCTCTTATACTTAATTATTAGTTATTGCTTTGTTTAGTCTATTTCAGTATGCGAAACTTATTTTACCGCACGTTGGTTTAGTATTATTAACGTGTGCTTATACAGTTGTTGGCGCATCAATATTTTATAGTGTCGAGCAACCGCATGAATTAACCAACAAAAGACGACAGGTAAAATTTCATTATGAAAAATTTTCTTTTTTTTTTTGATTATTTAATACTAACAGAAATCAGCCATATATCATTCTATTAAGTGGTACCATTTATCAAAGATTAATTCTTGTGATAAGTGAAGAGGATGGATGGATAGCGATTACTGAATATGAATATCAATCTGATGGCAGTAACATTCCTAGAAATGTAATCGCTGGTTATAATCAAATAGTCTTGAGGAATTATTAGAAATTCATCAAGAGAGTTAAATAGAATTATTGTAACGTTTAGTTGGATATGATATACGAACGGCAGGAAGAATTTGTGAATTCATTGTTCACCTTGGCAATGCTCAATGAAACTCGACGTGAAGTCTGGTCACAAGTGACCAGGCAACATATGCATAACATGAGCGATCATCTTTTTACCGCTTTTGAGAAATTCTTCCTGACAGCTGCCGAAGTTCGTGCTAATGACACGATCGAGATATGGTCTTTCTCTACTGCTATCTTTTTTGCCGTTACTGTTGTTACTACTATTGGTTAGGTTTTCGTTTTTTTNNNNATGAATTGAAAGATTATCGTCTATTATTTAGTCGGAAATTACTCCAAAATTTTCATTCATTTAATTATTTGCTAATTTAATAAATAATAATAATTATTTTGAAAACATCATATGCAATGAAGCATTTTTGAAATTAAACTTTCTAAAAAATTTCATTTTAGGATATGGTAATCCAGTACCGGTAACACAATTGGGTCGCATGATGTGCATTATATTTTCATTATTTGGCATACCTTTGACATTAGTGACCATAGCAGACATTGGTAAATTTTTAAGTGAGCATTTAGTATGGATGTATGGTAACTACCTCAAATTGAAGCATTTTTTGTGGGAAAGACACCATTGGTACAAAGGTCACGAGGAAAGAGTATGTGAGCAATGTCAAAGGCAGGGCATAAATTCCAACATGCATTTTATTGAAGAACAAAGGTAAGTACCGTCGGTTACATCTTCTCCATGAAAGTTATAATAATTGTTATCCATATAACAGTGCAAAGTGTTTTTAATATTATAATTAATGTTATGAATTCTTAAACAAATTAATATCTTTCATTAAATCATATGAATGTGTCTTGCTTTGTTAGCTTCACGTTTACCTCCACGTTACCATGTTATCATTACCTTTCTTTACGTTATCATTCCTTCTTAAGATATGTATCTATCAATTGTAGGATACCAGCTATGTTAGTATTGGTAATACTTGTTGCATATACATCACTAGGAGGTGTACTGATGTCTAATTTAGAACCATGGAGTTTTTTCACTGCATTTTATTGGTCATTTATTACAATGACTACCGTAAGTCCTTTTTTTCTTCTCCTTTTTTATCATTATTATCATTTTCATCATCGTCTCAATCATATTTTTTATTCTTTGAAATCGAGGAGTAAAAATTTTCTTTTTCAGGTTGGTTTTGGTGATTTAATGCCCCGACGAGATGGCTATATGTACCTCATTTTACTTTACATTATTTTAGGTTCGTTTCTAACTCATTATTAAAATACTATGATATTATTAATTAGGGAATTGGTATGATTTGAAAGTTATATAATCAACGCTAATAAGGCTACTATATTATCTTCATAGATATAAATAAATATATCATTCATGTAAAAATAAAAATTAAAGAAGGACAGAAAATTTCTCCATCAAATTAAGGGAATTAGCGTTAATTTTGATATTTTAATAAAATAAGACATTGATTTGAGTAAAAGTTTCAATAATAAGTAATTTTTCATAGGTTTGGCAATCACAACAATGTGTATTGATTTGGTCGGTGTGCAATATATTCGTAAAATTCATTATTTCGGCAGGAAAATACAGGACGCTCGTTCCGCATTAGCTCTCGTTGGGGGAAAGGTTATTAGTCTGAAATTATTTATCTTTTAATTGCAAGTTTGAAAGTAATCGTTTTAATTTATAAAACACTAATGGATTGATCGACTCGAAGAGAGATTAATTTATGAGTTCCTTTTTCTCTACATCTGTTAATTTTAGCGTAAATTAATTTAATACAATGTGAGATTCAATATATTTTTCAAGAAAATGATAGTGAAAAGAAAGTACGAATAATTTATAACTTTTTCATACATAATTACTTCGAAAAGATAATTTTAAAAAAAAATCCTGGAACTTTTAATTTGAGATAAAATTCCTCTTTATTTAAAAAAAAAAAAATAAATTTTAGGTGGTGCTTGTATCGGAGTTATATGCAAATTTGATGCAAAAAAGAGCAAAAAATTACGATCGAGATGCATTTATAATCAATAATTTTCATATCTCGAAACATGTTATTCCATTTATTCCTGCGGATATTCGATGGATACGGTAAAAAATAGATTTTAATTAATGTTTATTTAATATTTAAAAAGGAATGAAATATTAATAAGAATTGTTTCTCTATACATAATATTCATTTCCGCAACTCATCAAAAAAACTGTAAATTATATTTATGCTTTTACAGGTATATAGACCAGAATGCAGAATCATTATCATCGTCATCTTCAACTCTCGATTTGCATTCCTGTCGCTTTTGCCATTCTCGATTTAGCATATCACGTTACCATCCATGATCTCACCTTACCCCTACATTGTCTCACCTTTTTTTATTATGTCATTTTAACACTTTCTCGAATTTTTCTTCAAGACCAAATTTATATTTTTATTGGACCGTTCTTACATGTAGTGCTGTTCCAGAGAATGTTTAAAATCAACAAAAAGAAATTTATTTCATAATATTATTTAATTTCAAGTAGGTATCATTTATAAAAGTATAGCGATCGGTTAAAATATAATTTGCAAAATGTCGCTTTATCAACAAGTTGCCAAGTGAGTTTGGCTAACTTTTGCTGTAATTATCAAAAACTAATTACTGATTAAGTGCAACCATCTGATATATGTTTAAAAATGAATTAGCTAAAAGTAATGCCTATGAGTAATTAGTAATAATATCTGGAGCAGTATTTCACATATTCCGAATCTTCAGTTTTTTTTCCAGGGATTTTTAATTGTTACCTCAAGTGGCATGTAAAACAAATGGATTTTAATCAGATCTAAATTTAATCGGTTTTTTTTTCTTTTTCCAACTTGATAAGTAAGATAATATTTTTAACAGTTAATTTCAAGAGGATAAAAAATGCATAAATTTGTATCACTAATTTTTGCTCATTGTTTCTTAAAAAGGAATGTATATTTTAATGAAAATCCTACTGATATTTTCGAATATCACAGCTTTAGAGCCTTAGTTGACGGGAATTATTGTTCACCTTTATGGAAGTGCTCAATTTTGTCAATTCATTCATTTTTGTGGTTAAAATATTGCAAAAATTACAAAGATACTTTTGCTAATGTTTCTCTTCTTCAACACTATTCTTCACAAAGACTAATCATTCAGTGCAAATATTTCTCTGATAATAGCGCAGTTGTTATTTGAATATTGAATGCTCAAAAAAGTATCGCAAATAATGAAACTCTTTAATTAGTCAGATTATGAAAAGATCTAAATTTATAGAAATAAATGAAACATTATCTGTCACTCATATTTGATACATTCCTTTTAATACTCAATTAACACTCAATTATTTTTTTCGAGCTAACTGAAAGTGTTATAATTCAAAGATGAATTCTTTCAATTATCTGAGGTAGGAAAAATAATCAGAAATAATAAAATGATAGATGGATCATATATGAATATGAAAATTGAAGAAAAAGATTGATTACAAAAACACGCAAAAGTCATTTTTCCTTATTTTTTTTGTTGCTATGTCACTTCTTAAAAAAAAGTCCAATACGGTTAAATAAAAGTTTTTTTCAATCAATTAAATTATTTTTCTGCTTATATTATTGCCTTCCAGATTGTTTAATATACTTTATTACATCGCAATCCAATTATATCCTCCTTCTTTTTTCTCTTCCTTCAAACTGCCTACTTATTAATTTCTTTTTCTATATAAGTGTAAAATTTTGCATGGAAATAATACTAATTCAATTGACGATATAATTTTATGAACAATCACTATATACGGCATAACAATGATCCTCAATAATAATGCAATTCATTTTTCTAATTTTACTTAACCATACCATATTTAAATGCTAATGGTGAAGTGAACGAAGAAAATTATCTTCAAAATGATAAAGATGGACTTGGATTGAAGAGAGATTAAAATTTCTGCCTTCAATGCTTACAATCTATCATTTTATGGTACATCTAGAAGATAGTCGAGAATCTTTTCTAGATGTGCTAGAAAGAATTGCTGATCTTCCATTCAATCTTGTAAAAATATTTTTGTTTTTTTTCCAAATATGCTATTCTATTAAAATAAAAAAGTTTTCAGAAAGTTTACATATGGGAATGAAGCAATTTGATAAACAGACAATGAAGTCGCAAAATATTTGGATGATTTTTGAAAAAAGAGTTGACATAAAATTGAAATGAACAAAACTTGAAAGTTCAATTTTAGCCTAACATTTATATCATCTATAAAGAGTTCGTTCATCATTATGACAAAGAACTTGAAGGAATTATTAATTGCCTCCAATTTGTTTTAAGAAAAAAAAGACTTTTCAAAATAATATTTGATATGCTTATGCCGCATGTTAGCTGGCAAACTTAAGAAATGCATGAATTACTATATTTTTATTAGAATAAAAGATGGAATTTACAATCTTGAAGGTGTTTCTAATTTTTTCAATCCATATACGAATGAGAAAGATTTTTTCCACCACTAACTTTAAGCAAGTAAAGAACACTTACTCTAAAACTGCTAAAACTCAGTCAGAGTTTTTCTTTACCTACAAATGAAGAATAATCCACCTTTATTCTTCCTTGCAAATTTTGGATATGTTGTCAAGGCCAAATGTTTTTACTACACTATTCATAAAAGCAATACCAATTATTTCGAAATTCCGAAACAAGTCTCCAATCTTTGTTTTTAACCAATAAGAAACATTAAATATTTTTGCATTTGGGTTGACAGGATCTCGTAACTTTAAAGATGTACTGGCTGTAATAATACTGGTCGATGTTTTACTGGCTATGAATGATGTTGTTCATCAAAAATCAAATTGTTTACAAATTCTTCAAACGTTTCGACATATGACCTCAGCGAACAATGTTTAATTTCTGAAAAAAATTCTAAGTTTATTTACGACAAACAATTATTTTTAATAACCAGAATACAAGTGTTAATTGATTATCTATCAATTCAGCACCACTAAATCTCCTCACGAATACGACTTCTGACGATATACAATGATGTAAAACGAGATTTTTTTCTCGCCATTATAGATTTAGTCATTCTTTTAAAACGATTGCCGACATCTTTAAAACGATTGCCGACATGCAAACAAATCACAACAAAAACTTGAAGATTTTAAATAATAGATTGGGTAAGAATTTTTAGAGTTATAAAGATGAAAAATACCAAAATTTTTTCGGTCTTTCTCTGATTCTCCAGTATGATCCAACTTTAAAATTTCATGCAATAAAGTGCTGAAACATTTTCAGTTATTCGTTAATGAATAACAAAATCTGAAAATCAGTGTTTCGTTTTATATATAAGTAATCAGGAATTAAGAAGAGAAATAATTACTCTATACGAGGTAACTTTGCAAGATTTATATCTGATATTTGATTTGGATTAATAGGAACAGCTATGAGTCCAGTTTTAGGGTGCACACAAAACGGTGCTTTGAGCAGATGATTTATTCCTGTAGAAACATGAACATCCAGACGAGGATATGTACGCTGCAGCACGTAACCACGGAAATGGAATGATGACTGGAGACTGGCTGCCTATAATCAAATTTTTTTAAAGAACATATAACTTGCTTTAATTTGGTTACAAATACGTTTTATTAATTCGTTAGCAATCTGATAGAAAATAATATGTAATAAAGTTCTTATAATGTTTCCCGCAAATTTACAGAATTATTTTTATTACGTGCCTATTTTGATTTCGCAGAAAATTAATTTGCGCTTCCACCTAAACTGAAATAGTTAAAAATATAAATTTGTTATTGTTGCTTGATAAAGTTCCAAGTTTAATTACTTCACATAATTCAATCCCACTTTTCTTAAGTTCAGTCCGTTTATATTTGTCGAATTTTATTCGTAACGCATTCCATCTTTTCTTCAAACAATCAACACTGAAATGAATTACATATTTGCATGTATGTACAGTTCATATTTCAATTATTTATTTTGTTACAAAATCAGTTATATAGGATTCTTTTCTACCAGTATTTTGATTTCACAAAAAATTAACTTACGTTTTCACTTCATTTATAATTTCCCTGATTTCCTTCTCAACTTCTTCGTTTGCACAACCATCTAATAAAGACATCAATCCATCATCACTCATCCAGCCTTGTTCCAACATCAGTTCGTTTACATCTGAGCTAAAATAGTTAAAAATATAAAACATAATTCCAGTATGATTTAGAGAACTGGAAAACTTTCAAAAACTATAAGGATTATATTAAAAGTAACCTTTGCACTAAGTATTTATACACGTCTTCCAGCATAGGGTGAACAAACGTACGTTTTGTTGCTGCTTTCGAAATTTTCTGACCGCCCTATAATTAACAATGTTAGCCAAACCCAGAAAAAAATGAGAGGACACTTATATTTGGTAGTATAAAAATAGTATTTTTAAAAGAAAATATTTGTTCGGTTTTCGGTCAGTTTATATATGCATTACTTACAGTAACTAGAGATAGATACTCAACAACTGCTGTTCGACCAGCATTCTGAAGCTTCCGTGCAGAAGCATCAGCAACCCAGCAATGAATACCGCGACGACCAGAAAATACCCATAAGCAGTGCTTAAAACCGAAATGTCCTTCAACAAAAATGATAAATATGGAAATAGATCAACAACTCTTAAAATTTAAAGTTTTAAAACTAATATTACTTTGCAGCAGATGATTCAAAACGCCCACTGCAATAGAAATCCATCTCCAGCATTTCCTACACACTTTTGCTTTTCTGAAATTGCCATATTCTGAATAAAGTAAATTTTGAATAAAGTAATCACACATTGAAATTTAACTTTAATAATCAATTCGAAGCAGGTTCCATTTCTTGATGGTACCTCTTTTGCTGAATGTTTTATTTATCCTTACAAGCATTAAAAAAAAGTGCTGGGAATTACATATCAGTAAATAAGGTTTACTATTCCTTAGTACTACAGTCCATTGCATGATAGTACGAAACTATATTATTCAAAGTGCATTACAACATATATTTTTTTAGTAAAAAACTTACGAGCAACATGTACGGATGTCATCATAGTCAGTTAGATCAATATCAAAAATGAGTTCACGTTCAACTGGGTGAAAATCAGCAAATTTTTTATGCTCTTTCGGCTAAAATTAAATTGCTATCAGCTGAAGAATTGTTGAATATCTTATCAGTGATTTGAATTTCATTGAAAATTAAACTTTTTGACTGTCCAGCAACAATAAACAGACGAAAAGTTTAGTAAACAATGATTAATTAATACACATTCCACTAGTAGTTTCAGTGGAACATGACTGCCCTATCAACGGAAATGCAACAGGAAAATACAATACAAAGTCAAAATAAGTTCTAAAATTTCTCCAAATATTCCTGAGGAACAAAAAATCAGAACTTAAAAAAGGATCAGATATACTTTATAGTTATAAACTGCACCAATATCGATCTTTTGTGGATTTACTTTGCACAATTCTCGTTCGAACTCAGCACTGTTTTCAAAACTACGATATCGTGCATGCCGATCGTCTTCAAAAATAAATGCTAACTCTCGCATTTGAAATGAAGTTTGTAAGTCTGTAAAAATCACAGATTCAGTGGTTAACATACAACATAGCTTTCATTCTCCGCAAACAATCCAAGAAATCTTTCTAATTTAATTTAAGCAAACAAATGTTTTCCGAAAAGAAATTAAAGAAATAAATGAGCAAATCTTCTAACCTTTGCCATATGTTAACCATTTGCTGAAAGATTCGAATGGAAAAAGTCGCCTGTAATATTCGGGAAGAGTTTGCTGAAGCAATGATCCATCAAAATCACCCATTTCTCACCCGGTAATACTGAATTATTCCTTGCTAGTTTAATATTAAAATGAAATAATATGCAGAGTAAATGAAGGAAAAATGGTGGACATTTTTTTGAAAAAAGAATGATAAGGAGAATGAAGAGATACGGAAGAGAGAAAGAGAGAAAGAGAGAGGGAGAGAGAGAAAGAGTTACACGCTTCGTTGAGTATATTTAAATTTTCACAACATTTTCAAAATGTCCACCACTTTCCCGCCCATTTAAAATACACTCCGTGCAAGATTCCTCGGTAGTTGTGAAGCACTGTAAACCACGTTACGTTGATAGGCCCGTCCATGTCATCGCTTTAGCAGTCCTATTGAGATCAGCATGGAATGTAAGGTGTAAAATGGGCTACCTGCGATAGTTTGTATAATCTCTTAGCTCATTTCCACTATAGCATTCATTGTTTTGGGATCAAATCAGATATTACATATTTGCGGAGATACTGTTAGATCAAAATAAATTAAGCTATAAACGGAATGTCGAATAGTATTTCATACAGAATGACATATCGACTGGAATGGAATTCGATAGCGCATGAAATCGAAATTGCAAATGAAAATGAATTGTAGGAGCAGGGATGATATCATTTATTTTTTACGTAACTCGCGTAACAGTTGAGAATCAGACGGTTGGTTGCTTTTCCGTCATCTAAGAATCACCTCATTGTTTCCAAATTAACATTCTGACGATCATTAAATATCTTCAGATAATTCCGATAAAAAACAGCAAAATTTTATTGTAAAATTAACATTTATGGTTTTTCATAAGAAACGAACGGTTGCTTAAAGAATTCATGCGGTGATGCTTATTTCCTATCAAATTTCTATCGAGCATCTCATTCATCTTCACCATTTCTAACCGATACTTTCTCTACCATTTTCTTTCTTTCTCCATTCTTTCAGTGCAAAAAACAACTTCCAGTATCGTCAAATGCCAAGTCCAGAATGAGACTAACGTGTAATGCCAAGTCTAGAATGAGACCGACGTAATGCTAAGTAATGCTGAGTCTAGAATGAGACTAGCCTATAATGTCAAGTCTAGAATGAGACTAACATGTAATGCTAAGTCCAGAATGAAACCAATGTGTAGTGCTAAGTCTAGAATGAGACGATGCCATATGATTACTTTCCGATAAAATCCAATTTCAGATTTGGCTATTACGTTTTCTTGCAGAATCTCGACTATCTTACGAATTCTAAACCAAATTTTGTTTTTTGCGAAATTAATTACGGCTAAAAAAGTATGTATCAAATTAGTGATGATTAGTTGGACACAACCATTCTATTTTAACATTTAAATTTATTTTAACATTAAAAAAGACTTATAATAAAAATAATAGAATAGTTGTGATTATCCGAGTTTTTTTTGACATATTTGTTGCAGAATGAAGACGAATAACTCTGCAGTGAATATTTATATTTTAGACAGTAATAATGAATGAAACAATTAACAAATTATTGGATGAGGAAAGATTAGATCAAGTTCATATTGCGCTTTTCAAATACAACTTCACTTCCAACTCATACTTGCAGCAATGTGGCAAGTGAGATTTCCAGCTTTTTGATGAAAGTATAGAATCATACTTTCATTAGTTCTATCTTACAAACTATTAGCATGTATCTTAGCATTTTTTTTTCTTTCAGCTGCTCTAATAGCTGATCTTAACAAGATTAGCAAAACTTAGGACGTCCTCAGTTTATGTTATGCATCAGTTGAATGAAATGAAAAATTTTAAGGCCTTTATTGTATATTCGTGATCGATTCCGAAAGAAAATAATTACAGTTGAGCTATCCAATAAGCGATGCATTATCAGAACTATTCATCACTGTTCGTTTTCTCATTTTTTATAAGAAATGAATGAAAAATAATTAGTAAAACAAGATTAATAATGAATGGAATAATTACGATTCAGAAAAAAGAAGATCGAGTTTTTAGGACATAAATTTACTTCTTTTTTTATACATTAAGATGTTTAATTTTATAGGCTTAATCTACAGGATTAAACCATCATGCGTATTTAAACGAATTATATTTGTGCTAAGAAGAAATGATATTAAATTACAACTCGACTGCCAATCAAATATCATAATTATTCAGCAAGCTGAATTAGGTTATGCTTTCATTGCAATTAGCGACAGTACCGCCTAGAATTTTGCTGACAATGTGAGCTAATGAATTAAATAGAAGGAGTAGCATTTACTGGAATTATCATGAGCTTTTGTACTTTCTACATTCTTCAACAAATTATGTGATTTTTATTGTCTTTGTATTTTGAGCCAAGTCATTATAGATAGAATAGGATGATGAAAGTAATGAAATAGAACAGTTTTAATAATCATTTATAGAATCTAACAACATAACAGTTTTGGAAGTGTTTGACGACGACTCATGCAGAAATGGTGTAGATTTTATTCAGACAATATACAACATAGTATCTTTCGATTCAGGCAATTTCAATTCATATTTTGGCTACAAATGTGTGAAATAATTTAACTGTTAAATAATCAAAGCAATATTTGTTTGATTTTTAAAGGAAATGAAATTGTAATTTGAGAAAATAAAAGAAAAAGGTGTTGCAGTGAGTCCATTCCTTGCAAAACAAAGCAATGATAGTTTTGTTAGAGCAATGAAAGAAGTGAAGGAAAACAAGAAAAAAGGTCTATTAATTCACCATTTATGAATATGTTTGGTCATCTTTTTCGAAATTTTTTCTCATTTATGAAATTTAAAAAAGCTTCTTTTTAGGCTTTCATCGAGATCTGCGTTATCATTTGAAATGGGTCAGTGGTTGGTTACTTAATTTTTGTAAAGTTATCGTTTTTATTTTCGTCTTACGAATTTGAAAAAAATTGTTTTGTTTTTGAATTTGTGGATAGCATTAAATTCAAAAAGAAAACAATTTATAAATTTGACTATTGAAATGATATTTACATGAACTTATGGCACACCTCATAGCAATTATTTTTAATTTTATCTTATTGACAAATATGACTTTGATTAGGTAATTTCAGGTATATCTTTGTTTGGAGGCTTTGACAATTATTATATCCGCAGCTACCATATTAATGCTAATTGTAGAATTCCATTTCCAACGTCAACATTATCTAGCCAAGCATAAACCATTAAACTGATTATCAACAAAGAACTTCTAAATGAAGTTCAATTAACGAAGAATGCTTTGCATCCCATTAGTATGTATTTACCATGTTGATCATAAAATGTAGCAGAAAGTTAAATTTACTCTTCTTATTGAATCCTATAAGTTGCAATTTAATTTAATTGATAAACTGCGTTACTGAGGATCTGATTGGAATAATAAGTTGAATGACTAGCTATCCGCAGAATTGCTCTTTTTAAAAGCAGTTTACAGTTTATCAATTAAAATTATTATCAAACGTAGTTTATCAACTAAAGTAGTAGCGCTTCCCGAGGTATTTATTTCTGTTGGCAACTAATTGTTCGGAAAAAATTAAACAAAGAGGTAGTCGTACACTTATCTCTTAGATCATATTCAAAGTAATTTACTTCCTCTAGCACTTTTACTCTTCGATATGATATAGATTTAATCACTAAGCTTACTACTTATTATCCGCAAATATCTCCAAGAATGTATTTTTAAATTATTTTAGCAGTGATATATATTAATAATTATAATTTAAAAAAAGATGTGATTTATAGTTTCGAGAACGTAAACGTTGCTGCAATGTCTAATTTGGAAGAAAAGAAAAAATTTTTTCTGATATTTTTAATATTATTGTTAAAATTTTCCTCAAAAAAAACGATAAGGCTTTATTTGAATGTTTACAAATATAATGTTAATGTTGCAACATCGAAGATGACGACGACAATTCTGAACTTGCAATTCAATCTTTTGTATTAAATTTTCCTTTGAAATATTAGCATAATAGTGTTTGTAAAGTGCATCACATAATTTGTACATTTCCTGATTCTTCACTTTCTTTACTTTTTCGATAACGAGAAGCAAATTATAAATGTCTGGGAGATATTTTATGGATCATTTGATTTGAAGAAATTCTAAAAACGAATATACACAATGAATGGCTTATTTAGATATTTAAGGCAGTAGCGCTTCCCGAGGTATTTATTCTGTCGCATTTGAATTACTTCTTTCCATTAAAGCTGCCAATTCCTGATCCAATCGTAGGTGTGCAACAGCAGCAAAACTGCCCATTAAATGGTGCTGGTTTCGGTGTAGGCATACAATCTGCAAGTACAGCACTCGTAAATATTTTTCAATTAAAATAATCTTCTTTCAAATTTCGAAAATAAACATACTTGTTGGGGTATTTTGCGGTGAACAGATTATACATGGCATACAAGGGTACATATTGCTGCCGTATGGCATTTGGATTGCTTGTAAACCACTAAGACCTTGTAAGCCACCGAGACCTTGTAAGCCACCGAGACCTTGTAAGCCACCGAAACTTTGCAAGCCACCAAGACCACCTAGGAGTCCCAAGTTACTTAACTGTTGATTAGTTCCAATTAAACTGTTTCCAAACAATGAACCAGTTGAAGCACCTCCAGCCCAGTATGGAATTTGTCCTGGCAAAGTAAGCATTGCTGAGATCATTGAAGGCAATAACAACAAGCAAATGATTCTTGCCATACTTCTGAAACCATTCTCAAAAGTAACTTACGGTAATTTACCAGTAATATTTGAATTATATTTTTTTTGTTCTGTTTAATAGAGGATTCTTGTTTACTTTTGTTATATTATCTGATATTTTTAAAGAGTGATAAGTATTCTTCCATTGGAAGGAATTAAATCTTTGAATCTTCTACAGAATCTTTTTTTAGTTAAATCTTCTGTCATGTTAGAATAAAATAATCCTTTAAATTGAATTATTAATTAATTATAACTAACGGCATAAATTTGAACTGTACGGAATTATTAACTGGCTAATCAACCTTAAATTTAAAGTCAGTTATTTTTTATAATCACTTTTATAATTACTTAAAAACAGTAATATGAATAAATGAATAATCGGAATAACTAACCGATCAGAAAGAAAAATTCGCAAATGTAGTACAAAATTTATCGGAATGAGAATTATATTTAGCTGAGTTAGATAGTAATGTTTCTGTTTGCTGAAGTGATTGTTGTTGGCTTATAAAATTTTCATCGATTAAATAAACAACTAAAAAGTTGAGTATCTTAAGCTAATTCGTAAACCTTACTTTTAACAGAATATTTTGAAAAACTAGCTTTACAGCTAAAAACATCATCTGAAAAGATTTTACCCTCTTCCCCACTACTAGATTTTAATCCCCTGATGACGAAACATTCCAGTATAGTATATTTTTGACCAAGTTGACATTTCTATTTCACAAGAAGTACTTAAAATCGGAAAATAACTGGTTTATTGAGATTTGTTGAAAGATATTTTTAGTTTACATCAATAATCTTTTCTTGTTTTCTTTTAGAATAATTGTTTTTGTAAATTTCCGTGCCAATTTGCAGATGATGGAACAATTTTTAGGAAGGAAATGTTACTGAAATATCAAAAGTGAGAGGAAGGAAAACTAAAAAGTCGGTAATAAAGTAAAAGAACGGAAAAATAAACAAGTGTGTGAAAAAAGAGTAAGTAAATGTAAATTCAAAGTAATAAGAAGGACCAAAACTGACGGATGAAACGATTTTCGGCAAATAATAAAAACTTCAAAAGAAAAGCAAATTGCAATTTGAAAAAAGTTTTGATGGCAAAAAGATTCACAATGAATTTTGCAAAGAAATATTATATTTATTTCATTACTATTTTGGTTTAAAAATTTTATGAAACATGAAAACATTTTTCAACAAACAACTTAATACTTCAGCGAACTCGGCCGTGAAATAGTTTTTCAATTTCGAACATATGTACGCTTAATTACGTGATTTTTTCCTCTCAAAAACAATGTTTTACAGTAACTAATGAGCAGCTGTATATATAAAAAATAGTCGAAAGAAAAATACTAAAAGGTCAAGCAAATATTAACAGACAAATTGCAAACATATAATGTTTGCAATTTTAATTATTAGAATCGAATTAATCAAATGAAATTGACTCAATCATCGTTCACATGTGTACCATTTTGGTCCGAAAATAATACTCCATCGAGTGATTAGTTTTGGAATGGATATTTGAGTGGAAGAAGCTGGAAAAATATAACGAAGCGCAAAAAGCTTGCTGGGTGCTAATCTCTAATTCATCCAAAATTAATTTGCAATATTTCATTTCAATTCTTTTCATTTCGTCATTCCACTGCCTTTCCACACTTCAAATCTCTCAATGAAATGCCAAATTATCATCAATTAACTGTTTTTATCACTTTGTTACTTTTTTCTCGTTGCGCGAAGAATTAATTTTTGTATAAAAATATTTTAAACTTTATCAATCATTCATTCAATCAATCGAAAAAAAAATTTTGGCGCTATTGTCATTTATAGCATAACTGATCAATGAGTATTGCATTCATTCATCACAGATTTTTGGCTATTTTTTGGTTGTTGATGAAGAGAGAGGGAAAGAAGAAGAGAGAGAGGAAGAGGGAGAGGGAGAGAGGGAAAAGAGTGGAACATTGATTAAACTATCCATTTGTCATCCAACTTAGGGATCCTATCTTCGGGCATTTTCAGCCTTGGCATATTTGCTTACAAAGTAAAATTTCAAATCATGCTATTAAACAGAAACATTGTAGTAGGCGTGCGGATTTATTTCTGCCTATTGCTAACGTATTCAAATTGAGCCATCCCATTTGAACATTCTATCACAAACTCATATTAGAAGAGTGAAAAGCATTTTGATGACCTCTGTCCTATCGAAAAGATCCAGTTTCTCGAGCCCAATGATACACATGCATACGTGCATGTGTGTGTGTGCTTGTCTGTCTGTTTGTCTATTGACAGGAACCGTTGCATTGTTAAAATCCAATGATGTTATTTATCATGTTATTGGCCATGGTGGTAATTGAGACATCGATGGCATCTTCGTAGGCTTAAAGAAAGAGGAAGGCCTTAAGGATATCTTCCAAATCAAAATTTTGCTGTCTAGCCTTTTATTTGCTTACATCCCATTAAGTCAAAACATACTTTTTTCTATCTTTAAGTGCCTTGGCCGTTATCATTGATCAATATGAGTTTCTTCTGTGCTAACGAATCATAAAGCTTCTCTCATTTTTAGTCTGATTGATTAGTTAGACTAAGTGTGGTGAGAAATTTGAGAATTTATTCAGTCCTCATATCATCTATATGGCACGAAGAAATCATCGAAGATCAAAGGTCACTCGAGTGATTAATCTTATCAAACGCATCATCGCATTCTTCTTTTCTCATGTTGGACTGTGTGCGCTGGTTAGTATCTAAGTGTTCGCCATGTATTTCTATATTTTTCAAAAACAAAAGAAAAAAGAGCCACATACATATATGGATGAATTCGATTTAATAGTCAACATGCATAAAGCTCATTTAGGACATAAATTTTTGTCAATAGTGATAAGTTTACACATAGTATTAAGATTATAGCCATGTTAAAAAGTAATTTAGGTGATCGGATATGCATTGCTTGGCGCGGTTGTATTCCGTGCAGTGGAAGGACCACACGAAACATTCATACAAGGTCAAGTGGCAACAGAAAGACAAAAAGCTGTCAATGTCGCCTGGAATGCTACTTTTAGGTATTTATTTTTTCGTAACCTATTCTATCCTGTAGGGGATATAATAATTTGTTATGTTGGAGCGACGGAAGTATCTTACAGATACCGACCGATGAAATAGTTTGAATTGACCATTGAATGATTTGATCTGACAGCATCGATTCATCGATTTCTATGGATTTTTCATGATCACTGCATCAAGCAAACATTGAAAACTTTTCTGTCATAGACATTCGGAATACAATTCAAGGAAATAACAACTTAGGGTTAACAAATTGGATCGTGCGCAATGGGAACGTACAGTTCATGCACAAGTACGACGATTTCAGCGTAAGTGTATGTGGGCAATCAAACGTGGATACGACGGAAAGGTTAGTAGAAATTTCATTGCTAAATTTTGTTTAAACAGAATCATCTTTTTAATACTAATTAACTAAATCGAGTTTAAATTTTAGTAAATTTTTTCGAATTAAAAAATAAGATAAATTTGCAATTAACCTTGTTGATATTTAAAATTCAGCAGTAATTTCTGCGCAGGTAAGTTTAATCTGGAAATATCAATCAACTCATATGACATTTAATTTACGAGATTGAGACTGATTTTTCTAGATTTAGTGCGATAAATAATCAAATGAGCAAAATCGTGTTATTTTAAGATTTCAGATAATAGAAGATAAGAGAATATTTCTTATCGTTCAGTTTCATTTTTCAAAGAAATATTTAAACATCAAAGAAATAGATGGCTAAGCTCGAAATATTAGAAGCTAATAATTTTTTAAGCTAATGAATTGAAAGTATTCCAGGAATACGGTTTATCGGCTCAGTGGACATTTACCGGAGCCTTCCTTTACTCATTAACAGTGATAACAACTATCGGATATGGTAATACATCCGCTAAAACATATTTCGGCAAAACATTAACTATTTTATTCGCTATTATTGGTATGTTAGCACTTCCTCTCTTTCTCTTTCCCTTCCTCCTTCCCTTTCTCTCTCTTTTATTCTTCACTTACTCTGCTAATTTTCATTGAAATCATTCATTGTATTGTCTTCAGGTATACCTCTGATGTTACTTTTCTTAACGAATATCGGTGATGTTATGGCAAAAATTTTTCGATTTTTTTATTCACGTTCAATACGACTCAAATATCGGCTCATTTTATGGCATAAACGGCGTAAAGCTGCAAAATTGCGCCGTGCTAACTCTCTTGCTTCCCGATTGGCACGGGTAAATTGATCTAAAAATTGAAACAAAAAATTTTAAAAATTGAATAATCCTTGCACAATGAATAAATAATCATTAAGCATTTATTTTCTAATGTTGCAGGACGTAAATACGGATTTATTAAATGATTCATTGCGGCTTAATTCTGATGTACAAGATTTGCTGACAGCTCGTACACAGATTGAACAACTTGAAGTAATCAATTTGCCATTTTATTATTTTTCCGGCTGTATTTCAGTCCACAATTAGTACTGCTGAAAGTTAAGTGATTTGTAATTTCGAAACTAAATTGAAAAATAAATGTTTCCATTTAGAAATGACATGAGTATTTTATTTTAAGGGTATGTTTGAATAATTGAAATAATAAATGGATATTTGAAATTTTTTAAAGAATGAGAAATTATCATCAATTAGTGAGATGAAGGATAAGTTCAGGTGAGGGAGAGTGTGGAAGCACAACTACAACGCATATCAGTACCGCTAAGTTTGGTGTTCTTCACAATGTTCGCTTATCTGGTAGCTGGTTCGGTACTGTTCTGTTTATGGGAAGGATGGACATTTCTCGACAGTTTCTACTTTTGCTACATTTCTTTAACTACCATTGGTGCTTTATTTTTTTTAACTTTTCGAAATTCTAACATATGTTCCAGAATTTTTCTATGCTTATTAAAAAACATGAAAATGTTCAAAAATTTTGTACTATACATACGTGAAGAAAATATTTTTTCAAAATTTTTGATTGGAACTTTTCAAAAAATATAAATTTTTCGAAGTTTGCTTAGAAAAATTTTATGCATTTCATGTAAAAAATTTTAGAATTTTTCATGCACATTTTTAAAGATCCTTCGAAATTTTTATGAATTCAACTAAAATCTTCTTTTTTTCATGATTGAAATGACTATGTTAAATCTTCTGTATCTTTGTCTCAAGTATCGACTTTTTTTAAAGGATTTGGTGACAAATTTCCCGGTGCATCAGTGGGGAATGATAAGGACGCACAGAAGAAACTTGTGATAACATCAATTTATCTCCTATTTGGGATGGCATTGCTAGCGATGTGCTTTAATCTGGCACAAGAAGAGGTCATTTTGATTTTAAAATGTATAGCTAACTCTAGAAAAGTCAGCTAAAATGAGAAATTGAGAATAAATTCATGAATTGACCATATCACAATGGAATTTCAGGTTGTGAATAAAGTTAGTTGGCTGACTAACAAATTTAAATCACAGGATGATGAGGATTACGACTAGGCCATATTTCAAATATTTCTGGATAGATCATGTAAAACTCTTCAATGAGCATTGAAAGGTTACACATCAGTCTTGTCCAAAGTTCGATGAAGCCTTCGTATATGTTATCAAAACCAAAAAAATTCATCCAATAAAAGCCTTATTTTCGGCGCCTACTTTCCAATTTCGTACAAAATTCGTAGATTTGTTTATAATAACATAACGCAAAATAAAATGAATATGTGTATTTTCTTCTATGCCATTTGTGATTCTTATTCCTCAAGAGAGTGCACCCTGAAATAAGTTTTTGAAACTCTTAGAGTTAAATAGAAAATGTATCAATATCAATTTAATTCAGCAGGTTGCAAATGCAACTCAAAGCTGCGTTTCTTTCATAATCCCAAAAATACATTATTCAAGGTAAATTTTTCATTGCAAATCAGGCTGAAATTCAAATTTAAAATCCAACATCTTCTGTTAAACCTCATTATGTAATCTTTTTGTTTTGATTAGCTTGCGATCTTAAATTCCTCATTTCAAATTTTCCATTTCTCATCACTGCAAGGCATTTTCTTATCAACATTGCGTTTCGCTCTAAAATATTATTTCTACAAAAATAATTTTGTAGCTATTTCAGAAATTTTTGCGAATTTATGCTATCCTATTAAATTGAGCATAAAATTAGCTAAATTACATTTTTACTTAATTTCAAATTCTTTCGGTTATAAGTGCCTTGCCCAACCCAATTGATAAATCGTTTGCAAAGTGAAAACTTTTTTATCGAATATACTAAAAATAATAATCTCATAAACGAGCTAATCATCGATATCACTATCAGCGCGCTATAGAAATTGCAGTTTAGTGCTGCCGCATTAATGTTGTGATGCGCACGTATGTCCGATTTCACGAACATTAACTTAAGTAAGTGCCTATTTCTTAAGATAACAACTGTCTTGTTATTCAATGTAACGTTTTAATAATACGTGATATATACGTGATATGAATGCATACGGAAAAAGTTCAATTAACTTAAGCCATTCAAGATTTCATTTGTAAGAGAATTGAATTATGACGAAACCCAGATTCTTCCCAGACAAATTTTATGGTAATATTGGCATGTTTACGTGTTGCTGCTCGTTTCAACATTGTTGCTGTGTGCTCATAATTTGGTGTATTTTGAAAATCCAATTCGTTAATATCTTTCAAAATCTTATGTATTTCCTCTGATAAGCTATCTATATATTTCGTATTTAAAATATTAATATATCAAAATTGAAGACTTATTATGTGCGTACTATTATTTTAATAAAAGCAAATGATTGAGTATCGTGGATTAAAAATTAGTCTTTTAACTAAATCTTCAAACATTCAATTAAATTGAAAAATTTTAGATATATTATTCAATGTTTTCTTTCTTGCAAAAAATTAAAGACTTGTATTTTAGAGGTTTATATATTTGTATATTTGCCAATGATTATTAGCAACTAATGATTTGTTCAATTTATAAAACTGTTTAAATTAAAAATTTTTGATATCATATTTATACAAACAAATATGTGCCAGCAAAGAGTCGTTCCTTTTTCCAAAAAAAAATTTCATAATCAACAGGCTCTGACCATGGCAATGATGCATACTCCGTGAACTCGATTAACTTGTATATACCCACGATTCAAGGTCATCTTTGGCATTGGCATTGTCCACGTGAATGATGACAACTTCGTGATTCAAATCGCACTGTATCGGGAAGGTGTACCATTTTCCGCAATAATCTCAAAATGTTGACCATCACTCTGAATCATTATTTTCTGACAAATAAATTAAAATTATTCCACTCTCAAAAATAACATTTTAAATTGTAAGGAATAAGTTTGAATGGAATCTTCTAGCTAGTAAGCTGCTAGACTAACTGAAAAACGATAAATACGAAAAAAGTAATCGAAATGATATTTTTACATAACAGTGTGATTATTCAATATCGGAGACGAACTCAATATTCCGTCAATCTGAGTTAACAATGACGGTTATTGGCTAACAATGATATTGAAATTATGAGTAGTATGTGTGTTCTGATTCTTCCATAAAGTTTTTGTATGTTGGGAGTTTTGTTTGTTTGATATTGATGATAACTTTATTTTACCTGTTAAGTGGGGTTAATTGTACTTCCATTTAGCGTTATTCATCCTTTTGCTATTATAAATCTCTTTTTAAGATTTATATTATTTATATTTGTAATTTTTCTTGCTGAGGTCTATCTTATGGCCAGTATTCTGAGATTTGCGATATTATAATAGTATTAAATCAAAATCGTTTTGCTATCTTTCTTAATATATCGTCGTACAATAACAAAATCAAGCACATAAATAACACTTGCTTTTTCTTTTAAATTAATGGAAAAATTCTGTGGTTTAATGTCTCGATAAAGATAGTCAGGATCATGCAAGTCTGCTATTCCTTCCAAAGTTTGAAAACCTAATTTTATGATATTTGAGAGTTTAAACAATATTAAATGGTGCTATTTAGACATTATTCAATCATATTTCTATTTGAATTCGATATTTAACTTTGAGACTGATCAAGAAGGAACTGATCTCGAGCTGTTAAGGAAAACGGCGATAACGATGATAGTGAGAAATTATACTTACTTTGTGACAGGTCAAGGTTTAAGATCGTGCATGAATTCCAACTACCTGGAAATGTCATGAGAAGAAGATTAGCGTAACGAAGAGTGACAAACGTGAACTGTTTTTTAAATTGCTGCTTTTGAAGTTTATCAATGCCGGTACCCACCAATTGCATTAATTTAAATGATTCTGTTCGCCCTGATAAGAAAAATACATTTGATTTCAGTGAGAATGCGAATTTAAGAAGAAAATACATTTCATTACAACAGTATTTTTACTGTCAATGATCTTTGTTTTCGATAGAAGACAGAAATCAGAGATAAAACAATGGAATGCAATACCGAAAATAAAGTTCTTCTGCTTTTCAATCTTTTTTTTTTATCACCGAATGTCGAAATCACTTCCCGTCCCGTATAACTTTTGACACAATTTTATATTACGACAGCTTAAATGCCACCTTTACCAAATCACACCAACAATTGTTTTATCAAATTTAGGAAATGATAATTACTTCGTTAATTTACTCATAGATTAATTCAAGAAAAAAATCCATATCCTTTGGAGTATCATTAAATTTATTTACGTCATTTATATTGTGCTACATAATTCCTACATTCAATTTATGTTACGAATCTATGAAGTCTTAACCAGCAACGACAATACTTAAACAATGTCATGATGTATTTGAAGTAATCAGCGTCCGTATTTTTTTAGGATTAAATTGAATGTTAAATGTGATTGTACTTATTTCTTTGTTAAGTTTATATGTTTCAAAAGTTGTTCAGCATTTTCCCCCCATATATCTTCAAAATGTATTAATTTAGAATTCCGAAAGTTGTACAAATTGTCGCATTCATGAACTCAATCAAACATGCGAAATTTATTGCTAAGCTTCCAATATTTTTTTTTACATCATTTCATTAGTTGAGGTCAAATTGATTTCCTTCTTCAACTGGAAGGATTCCAAACTAAAACTGTTGGAACATCATTTTCTTTGTTTAATAAAATTCTTCAGAAATCTCTCTGATATGCCAACAGCCTTCTAAATAGCATAAGATTAGCAAAGAAAATATTTTTAAAAGAATCGTAAAGACCGAAAAGAAGTGCTGTAAGAAAGTCGGTCACTAATATCATAATAGACAACATACTGAATTAGCCAATAAGGTACAAACAATACTCTAATATCTCAAATAGATAATTTTTTGTAAGAAAATCTTACACAGCAATGTATGTAATTTTCCTACTACATTCAACCTGTATTAAAAAATTACCGTAGTATTACTGAACTGAACCAAATAAAACAAAGATAATTTTTTGATTGTTAGTACAGCAACAAATAGATTCATGCAAGAGGAAATCATTCATTCTGAATTCTCTCCTATTTACACAATCATTTCAAGTTGCTTTGCATAAAATATTGTTTGTTTCGCGATCCTCTTCGTATCCAATTGTTCTTTTGGAGCCGGCTGAAATCAATTTTTAAAAAATGATTTTTGACGTTTAGTTGTCATTAGAGCAACTGCTAATATCGACAATTTATTAAATCTGTGGTAAAAACTGATTCCAATGAACTAATTTTCATTTATTTCGAAGTGAATAAGAACTCACCCCAGATATTCCCTGTTCGAAAATATATGTATTGCCCGAACTTTTCCAGGAGCGCTGCAACAATTATTTTAAACCTGGATTTTATAAAATATTAACACAAACGAACTGTTAAATTTCGAAAAATTTCAAGAACATTTCGAAATAAAATCTTTTAGATAAAACATATCCAACGTGCTTTTTTTAGCTTTATTGTATTTTTATCCACTGGTTCCTGAATATTTCATTCTTTTTTACCAGTAACATTCTGTTATCCGATTCAGATGACGGTGTAACTGCATCTGGATATAACAATAAAAAAGAGCTTCACGACACCAGTCGTCAAACAGGTCTGTTCAACGGATTTGATCTCGACTGTCAGTTATTCGAGTTTGCCTAGATTCTCATTTTTGCAATCAACAGGAAAGTACAAAACACAAAATAATTGATGATATAAAAGTACACATAATGTAATTGAAGCAAATCTAATACCTTTTTCGCAAAGGGAATGACTTCACTGACATTGTTGAAAAGAAGCAACTGCGCAGCGTCTTTTTGCGAAACTTTTTTAAAGGAGCATTCGATACATGAAGCTATCTCATCTCTGTAAATACAACAAATGAAAGTATTTAACATTATTTGATGCACATTATAATCAGTTTTGCTTTTCATATCAACGTCAAAATATTTGAAAATATAACAGACCGTACTGTATCCATAGATATACGAATAAAAAGAGCATAATATGGACTAGGAATGTTTTTCTCCGTAAGAACAACCTGAAAAAAAATTTAGCTTTGTAAAACAATAGTTAACAAACGTCATAAATACTAGGATTATTTGTATCCAGCTTAAGCACGACATAACTGAAGCCTACTAACACATATAACAGGACAACATAACTGTTGTCCTCACAAAAGATCACATCATAATAAAAGTACGATAAAATTTTGTATACAACGCTATCATTATTAGCATACTTTATTATAAACACCTTCCATAAGTGATTGTTCCAATTTTACTGGTGTTGTAATGTATGGATTGTTCTGCTGAACATTTTGCTCGATCTGTTCCAACAACTGCAAAAAGAATGGTTGAAAAATACATCACTTTCTACTATATCTGAATGAACGCACTGAGAAGTTTAGTATTTATAATTGGTAGTGACTAGGACAACAACAAAGAATAATATGAGAAAGATATACATTGAAACATGGAACAAAATTTCACATATCAATATGTATAATGAATCACGCAGAGAAATGAACTCTTTCCTTGTTTGCAACAATAGACCGAGCAACTACAAAAGAAGTAACGGCTAGACCAGAAATATTAATTGCTTACTCATTTGCCACCATAAATTCAGAACAACATTTAAGCGCAAGTAAATTTAACATACCATATGGAACTGTGCATGTTGATTGGTTGTCAAGAAATACATCAGGTTCAAACCAATCATTAGGAACTTATTTGGTGACTCTTCGTTTGATCTGGAAAATAAATCTTTAACTGGACAGATAAATTATCCAACTTTCTATTATTACAGCTAAAAATATAAAAGTTGAAGTTTTGTACTTATTCATCTTTTCAAAAAAAAGAGACTTGTAACAATCGTAAAAATTCATCACAACACTGATCGCTTCACGAAAGGCTTTGAGATCAGATTGTAGCACAGCATAAAGGGCATCAATTTCGTACACATCTCCTGCAAAGTAGAATTTCTGTATTTCTAAATTAATTAAAAGATCCAGCCAAAGCAGACCACTTTGTTTCGTAATTTTTTCACCACCATGCAAAAAATAGCTTACGATGTATAGTATGTAACGCAGCATTGCTTAAGCCTTTAAGTGCCTCTGGATTCTCCATCATTCCCTGAAATACCGCAGAAAAACTAAATTATTCTTTCCATTTTTTTCCGAAAGGCTAATTCGCTATTCAACAAGGCTGGGAAAAAGGAAGGCATTGTTGCGGAACACGCAACAGAACCTACTAAAAAATCAAACTGTTCTAAATTAGATGAAGCAGCAACTAGACAGTAATTTGGACTGTATTCAACCATAACTCACCTTCATATGTAGCCACTTTTTCACTAAAAGCAATTGTAGGCTTGCGAAACCACGAAAGGATGTTCAGTAATAGTGATAAGTCCGAAGATGCTTACCTTAACTTGCTTTAGTGCACTACCAACTGCAGTCAGAATCTTTGGCTCCTTATTCCATTCAGCTAATAACTTCTTGTGTGCAGCCTCCATTACTATAACACTTCTCACTTAAAATTTTTACAAAATATTAGTTATACATAGAACGAAAAAAACACCACAAAAGAATTCCACATCGAAAGATCCTGTCAGATAATGCAGAATAACAAAGCATCCTTTGAAAAGATTGTTGATTACCTCATTAACCGATAATTAAAGTAGAGAATGTGCTAAAATAACTGCAATATTTGATCCATTCAATATATCTTTTCCTAAACTTTCCAAAAAATAGCCAGAATCTTTCAATATGCAAAAGACAAATTTCGACGGCTTTTAAGGAAAACATTGATAAAATTATTGCAAAATAATTAAAATCACTACAAAAAAGTTTTCAAGAAGATAAGCAAAATAACTTCAAAAAAAAAAAAATTTCAAACTGATCATGCAGCCTACTTAGTAATTTCATTTTCATATCTTAAAAAATTGGAACACACTTTTCCTCGAACTGGAAAAAGTGAAAAAAAGTGACCTTAGAAACTTCTCATCTAATAAAAATTGTTTGAGAAGGAAACTTGTACTTCCTAACCAAGCTTTTTATCATCATAGCACATAATGTATTTCTATTTTATAATTAGAACTTTCATTATATATATAAATTTCCACTGCAAGTATTATGATCGAAATAAAGACGATTTGTTAACACTTTCTCGAAGGCATTTCCAATTTCTTTTATTAACACCACATGATGATAAACCAAGAACATGAAATTCAAAATATATGGTGCGAAAAAAATAGAGATGAGCAGGTCGCTCAGTGTGAAAACTTATATAAACTTCACTTCTAAATGGAAATAAGAACTTGTATTTACGCTCTCGTTTAAGAGACGGCATAGTGTTCTCTAACACATCAAAACAAACAAAAAAAACTAATAGTAAGGCAAATGTAAATACATATATATATAATACAAAAAAGTCAAAAAATACATTTCATTTTAGTCCCTTAGTTGATTAATACGGAAACAAAAAATTCAAATCTCAAAGTTTTGGTTTCATCGACCTAGCCAACTGGTTGATGGATTCCACCACATCATCCTCACTTATGTCACCGATAATTATCATTCGCCCGGGTTTGATGATCTATAAATATTATATTTAACATTGTTCACAATAAGTTGAGGCGTTTGCAAAAAAAATAAAATAGATATACTTAGTGTTGTTATTTTCATACTAAAGATAACTGATTGGACATCGTAGACAATCATATGTTATCCAAGACAAAAAACTATTCGTTTCATAATTTAAACAAAAGACTGCGATGCAAAACAGCAAGCATGAACTTCGACCGATATGCCAGTTGCCAAAAAAAGTTTCAAGACCTATAACGCACCTTTTTTGTTATAATCTGACCCTTAAGAATCTGTTCGAAAATATCACAGTGCATTACAAGAACACAAATTAATTCTCGTCGATTAGGAACATGATTCTCACCGAAGGACATTGCTATAAACAAAACCCTTTGATTTTGTTTTTTTTGTTGTATTCATTCCTTGACAAATATGGATCATATTTTCGAGACGTTGTCTTCAAAATAAAAAATCTACTAATTTTCAGTTTTAGTAATTATTACAAATACAAAGTCACTGAAAGATTAAAATGTCTATTCAATATTTACTTCTTTCGGATAACCATATGAACAAAAAAGTCAATGAAACAAAACTCACTGAAATTATACACATCCACTCCATTTGTAAGTATTAACATGAACATAAAACAAGATGTCGAATCGCTATCTCTTTTTCTTTTCTGGTTTAAAGCCTCTGCTACAATCTGAAATCTGAAAGTAATGTTTCAAAACTCTAAGTTTTTATCACCTAACAAAAGTAATATAACAAAATCTTATTTGCCAGGATTCTTCGCTACCTCACTAGTATGTAAACATAGAAGATCTCAACCAGTCATATTGCCAAAAATACTTTTATTAACTCGTAATTCAATGTTCTTATGAGTTCGAAATTGATTCAACCAACCGCTAAATAACATAATGGATACCTTAAACAATTCCATATATTCATTTTTCTTTTCATTTTCCAGTTCCCATCTTGTTTCGGATACGTTTTCCTGAAAATGAGTTTTATTTGATCACGACTTTTAAAAGAAAACTTTACATATAAAAAGAGACTAAATTTTCTGGACTTACTTTTTCTGCACAGTTTAGCAAATCAACGGTCACTTCTGAAATTTCATATAATTTACAATCAGCAACAGAGCTCATGAAATTCAAAAGATGAAGGATCTTATATTTTCTTTAAATGGTTGAAAAAAATAACCTTGTATGCTATCAAAATGTTTTGCAGAGGTCATGTCAGTTATTGCCATCCAATTATCGGCAACTGAAACATATTGCCATGATTTATAATGAACTGAGCATGGTAAAGCAGAATTCCTGCTTAGAATTTTCCTAATTCACTTCGCTAATTCATTCGTTTCTTACTCAACTGCTTCGTTTTCGCTGAGTATTTATCAAAACGGTTTACGAAGTTCTGAACTACTTACTCAATCACGGGACAAATAATGGAAAGCTTCATAAGA